TCTTCCTTTTTCTTAAGAATATGACTCTCAGATACTGTTCATCTGCTGCATACAAGGGTTTTTGGGTTTTTTTAGATCGACCACTTCTTCCTTTTTCCCATACTTGTCCAGTTTTTTCAATTGTTTTAAAGAAACTCTTACACCATCCTGAGACAGGCCACTTTTTCAGCTTATAAGTCTTTGGAAATCACCTTGTTGGCACATTTTCCATTTTGAAATGTTATATTATCCCTGTGACATTGTTGTCTTTGGTTATTTTTCATACATTCAACCTAAGAAATTGGAACAATTATATGTTTTTTTGACAGGTTTCTGGTAATTTAAAGAACTGGTTCATTGCTATATTGCCAGTTATTTGTAGACAACACTGTTCTTTTACAGTAAGTTTGGTGCCTTTTTCATGCTTTAATGACTCTTAGGTCAGTATTTAGTATTCCAAAATCAAACAAAAGCATACCTCTGAAAATGGTCAGGTACAAAGAGTGAACTGACAATGAGTGAAAAAGCAGCCAATGTCCAAAGAAAAACTTTGAAAGACCATCAGAAAGCCTGGAGAACTGTTACTCAAGACAACTTTTAACATGACAGGAAACTCTAGCAACTTGGTAACAAATGTAAAGAAACAAGAGGTGGCTAAATGCTTTTGCACAGTACTATATTTATTGTGGCATTTCAAATTTAAGATATGTCACTGCTAAAACTGTACATTTTGCCTCCTTTGCACACATCATTACACCGCGTTCCAAATTATTATGCAAATGATATTTTTCTGTTTTTTTTAAATAGTCGATTCAAATGAGTCAGCATAATTTTTGTGTCATCCACCATTAGAGTATAATTCAAATGTTACTGATCAAAACTCCCAATGAACACAGTATCTTTTTCAAAAATAAAAAACTTAAAATGCACTGTTCCAAATTATTACGCACACAGAGTTTCAAAACATTTTATAGGTTGTGGAGAATTGAAAATGGTCATTTGTTGAATTTGCAGCATTAGTAGATCAATTTTACTGAAATCAAAAGCTATTTCAATCAAAAACATCTTAACAGGTCAAGTAGGACCCCTTATTTGATAGCAGTTTTACAATTCTTGCATCCATGGAACTTGTGAGTTTTTGGAAAGTTTCTTCTTGAATGTCTTTGCAGGATGCCAGAATAGCCTCCCATAGCTGCTGTTTGGATGCGAACTGCCTCCCACCCTCATACTTTTTTGTTTGAGGAGGCTCCAAAGGTTCTCAGTAGGATTGAAGTCAGGGAAGAATGGGGACCACACCATGAGTTCCTCTCCTTTTATGCAGATAGCAGCCAATGATGCAGAGGTGTTCCTTGTAGCATGAGATGGTGCATTGTCTTGCATGAAGATTGTTTTGTTGCAGAAGGCACAGTTCTTCTCTTTCTACAATGGAAGAAAGTGGTCAGTCAGAAACTCCACATACTTTGCAGAGGTCATTTTCACACCTTCAGCGACCCTAAAGAGGCCGACCAGCTTTCTCCCCGTGATTCCGGCTCAAAACATGACTCCACCACGTCCTTGCTGACGTTGCAGCCCTGTTGAGACATGGTGGCTGTCCACCAACCATCCACCACTGCATCCATCTAGACCATCCAGGGTTTCAATGCACTCATCAGTGAACAGGACTGTTTGAAAATTAGTCTTCATGTAGTTCTGGGCCCACTGCAGCCGTTTCTGCTTGTGAGCATTGGTTAGGGGTGGCCAAATATAAGGTTTATGCACAACTGCAAGTCTCTGGAGGATCCTACACCTTGATGTTTGCAAATCTCCAGAGGCACCAGCAGCTTCACATATGTGTTTGCTGCTTTGTAATGGCCTTTTAGCAACTGTTATCTTAATCAGATGTATTTGTTCGGCAGAAACCTTCATCATTGTGCTTTATCTGCACGAACCCATGTGTGCTCTGACTCAGCCACAAATCTCTTACATTATGGTGATCACGCTTAAGTTTTCGTGAAATA